CGGTGCTCTGAACCGCTCTGGCTGCTGGATCACACACAACATATGAGGCATCTGAAGTGAGACGAGCCAAAAGACTGGAACATAATTCTATTAAGAAATAAGGCGATGTTTATTTTATGATACTTTACAATGCTGATGTTGATTTTCACACAGCACACTGTGCTCATCAGCAAAGCATCCTAATCAGCTGCTTTCCAAGAGCAACATCAGAGGGAAATGATTTATGAGGATGAGAATCTGAGATTAGAGGACAGATGATGGAAGGAACTTTGAGGCAGAAGCCAATTTTACACAATCACGTCTCCTCTCTACCAATAAAACTAATACTGTTCCAGCCAGGCTTTCACTTTGACCGAATAACTTGTTCCTTGTGTTTCTCTGGATTTGATTTTTTAGGTAGACACACTTGACGAGCTGCTACGAGTAAAGACATCGGCCCAAAGTACAGTACTGTGCAAGCGTCTTGAGCCTCCCCTCATTTCTTTACGTTTTGCTTCCAAAGAAACAGATTTTTTTTCCCCAACGTGAGCTTGAGAAATTCATTTTGATTTATTTCACTGAATGTATGCAAAATACCAAAGATAAAGCCGTTTAAGAGGCAGCAAAGTGATTCCCAAAGAGCTATTAGCTGAAAATTTGACACTTCCCAGCAGGTTCGCAGTGTCCTAAAAAATGTTGATGAAACTGGATGAGTGGAGGATAAAAGCAGCAGATGAACAGTATTTGAAAGTCATGTCCTTAAGAAAAAGGAAAACATCCAGTAAGGACCTGAGAGTTGCACCTGTTCCTTCAGCTGATCCATCTGCTGTTCACCGAAACCTTATCAGAAAAGGTCTCAGTAGAAGGATGGCTGTCAAGCAGGGAGAAAAGGCTGAAGTGTGTGAATATGAAAAGAAGAATTCAGAAGAGAGATATTACAGTGAACACATGCAGCCATCTGTAAAGTACGGTGAAAACTCTGACACGGTTTGGGGCAGCATTTCAGCCTGAGGTGCTGGAGATCAAAACGGATGAAAATATAAACACAGAGGAGTACCGTCAGAATCTACAAAGGGTTTGGCAGCAGATTCACTTTTCAGCGCGACAATGATCCCAAATGCAGTAAAAGGACACCCGGATGGAAAAACACAGAGTGGGACACCATCAGTCATGGACTGGCCTCCCCAGAGCCCGGACCTCAGCCCTACTGAAGCAGTGTGTGACCAGAGAACAGAACAAAAGGCAGAAACATGCAGAGGAGAGCTCTGACTGTCCTTCACTGAGGCTGCAGGACTCTTCCTGAACATGCTTAAAGAAATGAGAGAAAGACTCAGACTGTGCTAAAGAATAAAGGCGTTCATATCAAATATTGACTTTCAAGCTCGTTAGAATTTTACAAACAGTTTTTGCCAAACAAAAACTAAAGCAGGCCTGTTTGCAAATGTTTCAATAAACAGCTGCACGTTTTCTCATTTTTCTAGCCAAATATTTAAAATATTTGACTTTTTACATATTAAAAAAGATTTATTGTGGAAACATCGAACTTTGCTTCGATTCCTCAGGAAAAGTTTGATTTGTTTCCTGAGCAACGGAGACCACATCTGCTTTCGGCTTGTTACAGGGTTCCTGTAACTAAAACATGTGGTCATCTAATCTTCTGCATCTGGTCAGCGTCAGACCGGTCAGAAACACGTTGGACAGAAATATATGAGGTGACAGAGGAAGTTGCACAGAGAGATATTGACACAAAGATGCCATGTGACGTGAGACGAGCAGGTGGATGTTGGTTTCGGGAAAACAAACTGGAGTTTGGATCGCTTACACTGCAGCCGGCAGATGTGGTGAAGAATCATACTCGTAATTAGGGATGGGTATCGTTTAGGTTTTATCCGATACCGGTGCCAAATCGGTACTTTTGAAACGGTGCCGGTGCTCAAACGGTGCTCAAACCGGTGCTTAAAGAATGGAGAACACAAACTTTGTCCAAAAACCTCTCATGTTCAGCTGTTTTTTGTAAAATAACAATATTAGCCTTTTCTGCAGCTATGGGGCATATATGGTATCACTCTTGGCTGGAAGCAGTGCTTAAACATTGGAAAAAACACAAACTTTGTCCAAAACCTCTCATGTTTAACTGTTTTCCACTTTTTCTTTGGTCATTTTAGCCTTTTTAGCCAGGGTGAAGGGAGTATCTGCCATCAAACAAGAGGACAGCCGCATGTAGCTATGATTATGTTTGCTAGTTCACCTTACATGCATTACTGTAATAACGTGGTTAGCCTACTCAACGTAAATTAGCTACTCACGCAGAGAAGAACGGCTGCTGC